TTTGAATTACAGAGTAGTACTGTGCATTTGCATGCATGGGGGTAACACAGTAACAGGGTATCTCTAGATGTAAAGTAGAAGAAACCTATCCTCTTAAGTCAAAGAAAAAGACAAAAAGCAAATTTGTTAGGTTACAACACATTTCAAACTCCAATTCTGCCTATCAACAAACGTTGGACATTAAAGTCATGCAATGAAGCCAGGTTCTTTATACGTTCATTAATTTGTCCAAAAACCTTTCTATTTCTTTGCCTGAAGAGCTGAGTGATTTGCATACAGGTGGTTAGGGTACCTGGTTCAACAATATGAAACCAGTTCTTGACATCATCAGTTCTGATGCACATGTATTCCAAATGAGTACAGAAACAATTCAATATTGATCCATCACATTTTTCAAGTGTCATACATGTAAATACCACCAAGTTTACCCTACATTAAAAACCTGTTCTTCCTAGTTTCTAAACCCCCTTTCCTTGGTAATTTATCTCTCTGAAATGAACAGGCACCCATTTTAAAACTTGCTGGCATTTACAACAATTTAGAATTGTGATGGGCTTAAGTGGAATTCTTCCCTGCTACACATTTTGCCACAGACTAGAAGCTGATCTACAAAAACTTATGGTAGTTTTGCTAAAAACTGTGATGCAAAGGAAACAGATACTAGTACTTTGGCCATATCTCAAGATCCAGTAACTCTCTAAAATTTATTGTACGGGAAGTAAAAGCCAAGATGGACAACATAAAGAAATGGACCAGTTTCACCACTACATTAGCGAGAGGCCTAACAGCAGATACCAGTAGGTCAGAATGAAGGATTGGTTGCCAAAGCTCTGGCAGGGTACAGCACGTGATGATGATATGCATTTAATCTCACAGGAAGACATCAGATTGAGTAGACCCCAAACGTACACATACACCAAAAACTTCACTCACCTTCACTCACTCTTATCATAATTCCAAAATATTTCCATAAAGTAAAATCAGAAGGTTTCGATTCAAAGCATAAGATTAGCCAGGCATATATGACAATGCATTTAAGTCCAACATTTTGAAGAGATGGATTACCCAGTAGGCCTAGTCTGGAAACATAACTGGAAGAACATGGATACATTTTTCCCTGTATTTTGTGAGAGAGAACTGGTACAGTACTGGTACATTTCAGTTGGCACACTAGGAGCGCTTGCATGAGACTCCCTACCAGTATCATAAAACAGAAAATTACAAGAACATTTACAATTTAAGACTTTTGGACTCACCTAAGTACTGTACCTGTGTATATAGATAACGATGACATTGTATTGAATAACTGCAGGGTTAGTTTTGTGGAAAGAGGGTAGGGTTCAGATTTCAGAGGGTAATAATGGGGTATAAATGCTGATGGTGGCATAAACGACACAAATTGGAAAATAAACAAGCCGACAGACCGACAGTGTACAAGCTGATTTAGTATCAAGAAGCCAATCTCTGACCAGTTACACAAGGTTAAAGGAAGCACACAGTCCTTTGCTGCCTCGTTGCCATAGGCTTTGTGGTAACCAACATGGCATGGTAAAATTGTACGCATGGGAATGAGGTAAGCAGTACCTCCTCACTACTAGTATCACAGTGTGTCCGTATCACAGTCATCCGTATGTGTCAAGTTGCACAGGCAGATACAGAAAAATCATGTCTATTCTTTGAATTGACTGTTTTAAATTTACAAAAGCAGGGTTGATCGTATTAAGGAAAACATTACCTGAGGTTGCACACTTTTGGGGACCAGTCTTTTTTGTAAGAATAATAAAAGTGGAGGGGTACACAATCCCCAATGGTGCATCATCATGGAGTGCAGTTTTAATGGACGAACGCGTACTAAGCATTCTCTCATGCACATCATAGACGAAGAACAGCCTTCCTCCATCAGGCAGGCAATCTACATTTACACCATGCTTGCACAAAAAAACCCCAAATTTTCCAACTCTATGCAAATTAACCCCTAGAAATCTACAAAGGACCTCCCTTACAACAGACGGATAAAATACATACCGGCACACGCCACAGGCATCATTGCACTTTACAGCCCATTTCACAAATTTTACACAGTACTATACGTGTACCTTATGTAACTCTACTTGGGCCGAATGTCGTTACATAAGTTGCACAACCTGTGCAGAAGACAGTGACTTGTGCAACAAATTATGACGTACATTGTACATTGTAACCCCTTACATATGTACAGACCGTATATGTACATGTAGGCAATCCTTCAAGGTGGTGTTCAAAGTTGCACAGAGTGAATTGGAAGTAAACCTTCATTCAGTGGTATCAGTTCAATGGCTGTACAAAACAAAATTTTCTTTTACCAGATCATGGCAAAATATACACTTTAGGAGGGGAATCCTCCTAAGGTGAATTCTTGCCTAATTTCCGGACTCCACCATTTTTGAAAACTGGACAAAATTTCATTACACCGAAATTTCTTCACAAAGGTTCAGCAGCATGTATTATGAAGGTTATTCAACCAAGTGAATTTGACGGGTTTTTTTGAGCAAGAAGTCTGGGAAAACTGTATGAGGAAAGTCACGTAAAAGTTAACGTGTGCCACATTAGGGGACTCTAGTGTTTTGTTTCAATGTACATGTCCATGATGGTATAGTCCTAATTTCACCACCTAATGTCAAGTCTGGTTGGTTGTGATAGCAACGGGTGAAAGAAGGGCCTGGCGACTGCATACTGTCATGGAAGTCAGCCCTCTTGTCATAAAATTGATCCTGCAGATATTCTACATGGTGTCATAATCCAGACTTTAACCACTTCATCCGGGGGCATTTATGAATATTGATGATGGGGGACGGGATAATTTCCTTTTTTTCTGTTTTCAAAATTCTTTAAAAAATTCATATCTTCATTTACTGGACACTAACACCCACATGAAGGACTGTCTGGTTTTTACTCTAATCTGACAGACAACATCTATTGACACCTGAGTATTTCAGCCAGGCCTGCCGCCTTGTAAAAAGAGCCCAGATTGTGCGGTGTTATGTAAGTTTATTCTGTTCACAAACCTGCCTCAGTGCGCTGCTGACCTCTTTTCAATAGGGGCCAGATTAGCATGCAGCGGTGCTGTGTGGCTCATTGCTGTGGTGGTGGAGCGCTTTTATCCCTGGAGGTAATCCACTCACGCTAAATGCCCCAAAGCGTGGTATACAATGCAAAACAAGGCTGGATTATCTCCACTATTGAAAGTGAAAAACTGTTGGTAATGCCCAGCAGCCTGGTCTTTTGTTCCGAGTACGGTCTTTTGTTACAAGGCCCAGTTCCCTTTGTCCGATTTCAGAGACCCTGGCCACGCGTATAAAGAATACATGTCCGGTACCGGTAACCCCAGCGACAAGTGGTTAATACCGGTATTAGTGCAATCTTGAACTATTCGCAAATTGATTGTACATTTACCCCCTTCCGACTAGTCCAAGTAACCTGGGCCCTACAAATTACCTGTTTTTAACATTTGGACATGGTTGCGCAATAGTAGGGTCCAAGTACCGGTACCTTCTATACATGTAGGTTTTAGCTTCCATTAATTCATTTCACTAAAAATAGCTCATATGATCGAAATGCAAGTTACTTGGACTACCTTCAGACTAGCCCCGCTAGTGTGGCACGGACTCTCACTCCCGATCCATCCTTAGCCACACATCCATATAAGCAATTTTGTGTCGGCGTATTGAACATTTTGGTGCACCAACTTATTATCGTGGGTGCAATTTCTTTTGCACAAGAACATGATTCTTGACCTTTCCGCTTTCTAAAAACCATTTACTGAATGATTTCACTCACGTTATTCAGGTATTTTCCAGTCCTTTTGCCTTTATCCATTCAATCTAACAGGCTCGCTCTCATAGTCGCCATCTTTAAAATAAGGCCGTTGAACATTACATCACTTGATCCCTCATCGTTTCGACGGCTCTTCCATGTCAAGACATCTAAACTGCTGCCAAAGATTTGGAAGAGCCCATTGGTACATGTACATGTAGTATCTTACCGTTCAGTCTGTGTATTACATACATGTATGTCTTGACATGGAACAGCCATCAAGACGATGAGGGGTCAAGTGACGTAATGTTCACTGACCTTATTTTATAGATGGCGACTGTGAGAGCGAGCCTGTTAGATTAAATGGATAAAGGCAAAAAGACTGGAAAATACGGATGTGTGGCTAAGGATGGATCGGGAGTAAGAGTCCGTGCCACACTAGTGGGGCTACCTTCTGACCTGATTATCCTAGTACATGTAGGCCTAGACCTGTAAACAGGGCCCGATGTATACTCCTTCGCCAGTATATGATGAAGGAGCATACATGTACGTCGGGCCCAGTTTACGACGAGTCTAATGTAGGCTGAGCCTATGAATGGATGTTATTCAAAGGCGAATCAACTCTGGATGGAGATGGAATACAATAAATGGAGGTAGGCCTACGTGTAGAAACACCTCAAAATTTTAGAAGTATTTTTCAGTTCTATTTATTTTAATATGGAAATGACAGGTTTGCAACTAACAGTTTAAGCTCAAAACGCTCATTATATGTATGCACAAGGGACCCATATTCACAAGCTTAGCTTCTTTTGGGCCCCCCTCAGTCTTCACTCTCTTGTCGAACCATTTTTGTAGATATTATGTACATATATTTATTTGTGAACACTGTGAAATAAAATGAATGAAACTGCCTAGGCCAACAAAATCCAAGGGTCACTGACACTGACTGCATCACAACCCTAGGCTATGTTAAGCAAGCCTCCTCCCTGGGCTTCTTCTTAGCAGTTTAAGTGGGATTTAGCCTGTTAGTGAGTGCTCAGAACATGCAGGAAGCCGCCTCAAGTCTCGTACTTGTCATAGGCCTACTGTCTATGTATTCTCACGGAACAGATGCAGTACGCCTATGTCATTGCACGGACATAACGGAGAATACTGAATAGGCCTACCTCATGCGGCAACCGGCAAAGGACATTAAAGAGAAAACTTACTAAATTAAGTCACAGCTATTCAGCCTTGCTTGTTTCCCCATACGGCATGGATGAGATCCGGTCGAAATTCTCAAATTTATCTGCAAAGAGTTGACCGCAGCAGGTGGTTCGTCTACAAAAGCACAGCACACACTGTCACTAAACCCTACATTGTAGCTGACATCGACAGCCCGGCGCGGCGGCCAGCTGCTGGTAAACAAAATCCATGCCGCAACCGCTATCGAGTCAATAGAGGGCGTTATAACAAATTAACAGGCACCGGAACTTCATGAAGTGGGCATCAAACTTGAGGGCTTTACTCGTCCAATGAAAATCTCAGAGGTTAGCACAGACAATTGACAAAACAAAGGCATCCAACCAACCAGGTGCCCCAACCCCACCCAACCAGTGACGTACACTGTTGTGAAATAGAGCCTTGGTGTGTACATTTTTTTTTCGGTGGTAAATAATCCTAAGTTCATTTTTAAAGTGCAATGACTGTTTGTAGCACCTTTCAGAGTCCCACCCTCTGCAAACAGAACCTTTATGAACAAATGAATTGAAAGTGAAGTTTATACCTGGTATGTTCTTGTTCTGTGATATTTCATAATTAGAGAAATACTGTGTGATTTTCAAATGGATATATCACATTGTGGAAATAACCTCTTAACTTGAAGATTTTAGAGGTGGGGACCTAGGGGAAAACAATAACAGAGAGAATGAATATATTGATTTCATTTTTATTATTTCTTATTTAAGAGCATTATCAAGCGAGTATCATGAATTCAGTGACATGAAAGTGTGGGGGCTCCTTTGAAGTTGACAAGACATAAGCAGACACGGGCCCAATTAGCAGCACAATACTTAATAGACACCTTGTAATGAACAACTGTGCAGAAACCTACTATGGACAGAAAATGACAGTTCAGTAAAGACCACATTATGTAAAACACAAAGTTAAAACCTCACAATACAATGTAACTACTACTAGATAAAATTGTGTTTTCAACAAAATTGTTAGTCTAAACTTGGTACCCATCAATGCATGACTAGCACTAACAACCACTTCCCTTTTACAGTAAATTTTTTCCCACATAACATTGACAAGAAATTTAAAACTTAGGAAAATAGAGAAAAAAGACAGAAGATACCCTATAACAAAATTAAATAATTTAAAATGAAATTAAATATTGGAGGCATAACTTGCTGTTGTTGCGACATGAATGGGCAAGGTAGCTATAATAGCATTTTTCTGACTACATGTGTATCAAAGTTTCACAAACTTACCACCACAATATCACATATATTGCACATATGAGCATGAACACACATCTCTTCACAAAACAGGACAAAGTATCATAATACATATTAATTACATATTGAAGAACAAAAATATATATAGATTTCTTTACGGTATTGTGACATCAATGGGCAAGTTGTATCACACTCGAAGTGATACAGTAAGAACACTTTTGTACAAGAACTAATCTACTGCACATCTACTGGGGTAAGTGTACATGCACATATTTAAGCATTTCATGAATAAATCAAACCTACTTCAGTGAAGTGAATTAGCTCGGCAAGACATTGCAAATATACATGCACCTACATGTATTACTGCCACTGGGGGCACTCTTTACCTTACAGTGAGGACCGTGAGTGGAGAAAAAGAGGGTCCTATATCTCAGAGCCACGCACCAAGAGACTATGATCTATCTAGCAGTTCCAAAGGATGCATTAGTGGGATAAATGCAATTAGGCCTATCAAACTAAGTCCGTGGATTAGTTTTTTTCCACAGGATGTTTAGTCACTGGTGAATGTGCCGCTAAAAATACAACCTTTGCTTTTGTTACATTATCAACAAAGGATGCACCCCTAGGAAGGTCAAATCTTTTGCCGCCCTGGGACAATGAGCAGCTTTTACCAATGTAACATTCCCCCTCAAGATTCTCTTATGGTTGGTGACAGGACCAATTGGCCCTGGATATTTGAGGGGTTTTAAAATTAGGTGTCACTAGGCTGAAGTAAGCTGTGAGACTTGTGGCAGCAACTACTTTCTGTCATTACTTCTTCGGTCAAGGTGCACTGTCCGTGTTCTTGGGCTGTGACACCTTGAAAAATAGATTTTCAACTTGAATGGATAATTTTCAAGGATAGCATCTGCTATGGGCTTTTTCACTTGAAAAAGAATGGTCCATGATTGGTCAAGTAACAACTAATCATCAATTTTGGAGGATTTGCATAAGAAGGCAGGCTGGAGCTAGAGTGAGCATGTCTGTTTGGGAACGGGTATACGAATAACAATCTCAACACAACACAACAGAAGCGTATGTACTCTATGTGCAGTGTTGAAAGCAAGTGGTCACTATGCAATCGCTCGCGTGCGAGATTTGCTCAGAGAAGACAATCAATGTTTTAAAAAAGCCAGGTCAATACAGCTTTTAACAGATCCAATATCGACATGCATCTTTTCATCCTGTCAAACCTAAGTACTGAAGTTGCTGACAACCAAGATTGATGTTTTGGCAGACAACTTCAACCTCATTTGCGGGTAGCTGATCATGGCAGTTTTGCACATCTTGGATGCTCCCTCTGACCAGCTAAAATCTCTCAATTCACTGTTGCATTATTGGCAAGATCTGACGCAGATAACAGAAGAGTTTTTTCCTTTTGCACTTCAAGTTCACAGGCACTTCACACTTTTTTGGCATAATTTTAAAGGCCCTTCGAACAGCACATTTGGTTACAGAATAATTTTCAATTAAGACACTGTACAACAACACTCCCTTTAATTTGAGTCTCATGGGCAAGTATTCTCCAGGACAGACAATAATAGATTAATTATACCCTTCTCCACAGTACATTCTCATGCTCAGGCCAAAGGTCAAGAGTGAGTTCGGAGTTCATCACCACGGTGTGTATGTTTCAAGGTTCCTGGTGTTTTTGAGACCACATTGCTTTGAGAGCCAAGTGCAATGATTCCCTGGTTGTTAAGCTTATAGGGTCAAAGGTCACCGCAAAGAAAAGTTCAGAGTTCATCGTCAGGGTGTGAAGGTTGGTCCACTGGTGTCTGGTCTTGTTCAGGTAACGGTATCGGTTCGATCACAGAGTTCATCCCTAGCAGTATGTGACCCAAGGCTTGTGCAGTCATTTGGAAGCTGAACGTTACAAGATCGGGAAGAGAAAACAGAGAGGCTGAATAAGAAACCTGTGTGCACTGCAGTTCATCAACGCCATTTTCCATGTCGGCTTTTGTGTCTTACATTGGCTTTATTTTACACTCCACGGTCCTTTGTGATGTCCTCTGCATAAATGAGTCCTACGACCATTTAATGCAATACTTTTGCATCAGAAAGAGCAACCCAGGCTTCTATGTTGGTGAACTGCTCATTTTAGCATGCATGCTGATAGCAACAGACATTGTGCAGGTGAGAAAATTTGACGTTCCTAATGATTTCCATGGTACAGGCTCCTCTTAAATGCCTGTAACTCAAAAATGGTCTCAGCGACTTATGATTCACTTTTCACAGAGCGGGTCACATTTTTTACAGTTAAAACTAAATGCAAGTATTGCACATCTCTAGCCTGGCACTAGACAATGCCGTGTGAGGCCAAATTCAGGAATACCAAATTTGGGCAAGAGAAGCCTGGTACTGCAGACAGAGGTAAAGCTAAAATGCCAACACTTCCCCGGGTAACAATAGCGTGCCTTCTGCGGCTGAGTGTGCCATTCAGGCCTAACTTGCTCAGTACTTCGTCGGGCAATGTTCAACTAAGTGACATTGTACTTACGTGTGCTTGAAGAGGTAAGCTTTGGTCGAGGCGAACTCTCGCAACTTCTTTAACACTGGCGTGTTCTTCTTCTTAATTTTCTTGTTGGCTCTCTCCAGATATGCCACCATCTTGGACACCATGGGGTCGGACATATTCAGTTGTACATCATCTAGGGGACAGATAGAGGTGAGCAATGCTTATGAGTCATGGTGTCTGACACGGGATTCTAAGACTATGGCTACGTCTGTGAACAGTACCTGATGAAAGCCCGGCAGCTGATTTCACAAAATGTGACACAGCTTCTTGCCAAGCCTAGGCCTTGGACTCTAAATTTGTGCGGCAGCTGAGTAATATACGGTACGTACGGTCGATATCATGAAAAGTTGATTAGCTGCGTAACGTTTGGATTAAATTGCTCTTTGTGGACAAGGATGATCACGTCTTTTATGACGGCTGTTTAGCCCTGGCAGCCATTTTGAAAAAGTTTTTGTCTCCTTTTTTTTGTCAGAACTGGGCAGAAAATCTCAAAGTTCTCCCACAGCCAAACAAGTTTTACCCCTCTTGTATAAGGAAATAAAATAATTATAATTAGTAATGATGAGCCGTTACTGAAATGGATTAGTTAGTAAAAGCATTCACTTCCAATTTTTTAGCATAAGTTCCCCCACCTAAAGCGAATGAACAAGTTACGCCATAAACTGTAGCGCAAGTATCAGACTTATGCAGTTTGTAAATTTGAAAGAATGTGGCATAGTTATGCAATAAAATGTGGCATAAGATGAGTTATGCCATTGTGTAAAGTTTCATGAAATTGGCTGCAGACCTACAGCGTCACCCGCACCACAAAGTAGCATTCAGCTGCTCTTGCATGCTACTTTGTGAAAACCTAATACAGAAATAATTTCGGTTTCACGAAGTAGCAAACGTGTGTTTTGTCAATATAGCATGGATAAAACCGCTTTGAAAGGTCTAAAATGATTTGATTCATCTGTAAATATGCGACTTAACTAGGGGATACTCTTCAAACACGTTTCAACTGTTTCAATTAAGGAAATGGTCAATTCCTGAAAGCGACTATTCACGGAGCACGTGCCGCACGGCCAGTGTTACTTCGTGAAAATGAAAGTAACACATTTCTGTAAAATACGTGCTGAAGCGGCGCACACATCTATTGATGCGGACTACTTAATGGTGTTGATGACGATAGGGCGTCTTCTGAACTTGTTTCTCCTACTGGATGGTCATGAGCACAGGATTCGCCATGAAGATGTAAAGAACAAAGATGGTGGACTCAAAACAGCATTCCACCGGACTAAAAAATGCAAAGAAAAAGGAGTGCTAGTCGACATTCCATCCTGGTTATTCTTCCATTTATCTGCGCTAGGATTACTCTGGACCAACGGAAAGACTCTTGATCCCTTAAAACCCACAACGGCATGTTTTTTTTCAGAATCTCACATGGGTGCCCTTGCCTGAGACACAACCTGATATCAAAGATGGCACGCTGAGGAGGCTCTCAGCAATTGTATTGAATGAGTCCAAGTACTTTTGGAACTACAAAAGACACAAACAGAAACTTAATCGAATGAGCTAGTTCGGTATTTTAAGGAGGCAAGGTAATTAAAGAATGCAGTGCTTGATGTCATGCACAAGTGCTTGTGCCTTAGCGTGAGGTCACACACCAACATCGACAATCTCAAATCACGAGCAATGCAATTCATTTTGTGCATGCATGCATGAACTCTCTGACAACCAACCTTACTCATTATGTAATGAAATGGAACGACTGAGAAATCAAATTTCAGGAATTTGACAGAACAGTGAGCCTGTAAATATTTGCCTTCAAGGAGCAACCGTTTAACTTCACAGTTCCCTTTCTGCATACTGCTCTGTGCTTAATAATCATCTGTCTTTTTCATTGCTTGCCTGGAAACACTACACCGAACACAAATGCACTTGGAAATTTTGGGTTTTTTTTTCTCTCAGAGAAAGGAAGTCTCACAACCTGAGCAGGAGCATGAAAGCTGCTCCGTCCACCTACCGGGTAAGAGTTTATCATTAGTACCCACACTCAGGTTCCTGCCTTTGAAGTGCTCGTCCAAAAACTTGTCAACGTTTTGTTCCAACATGACGGCCGTCTCATTGACAAAGGTGTACATGTAGCACGAAGGGGTTGTGGAGATTGTGTAGACATTATGAAATTTACCGGCTGGAACCTGAGGAAAAATACCCAAGTATCAAGATGGTCAAAATCCAGCTCTAAAAATTGAAAACTCTTTCAAATTTACAGTGAAAACAGCGGATGCCAAACGATGACTGACTGAGGTAACAGGAACATGTTTGGTTCTAGGTAAGCGTATTTCAAACCCCCTGTTAAAGGGTACCTGCAATAAATGTTTGTGATTACAGACCTCCAAAATGCAATATTGTGCCTCAGTTAACCTCATTTTAACTTTTGTTTCATTTGTTCAAAGGGCATTTTAATCCCCTTTTGGTTTTCATGCTAATGAGTATATCCATATTCATGAGCAAAACTGTGATGTCATCTCAGAAAAAAGCCTCAATGTTGCATTGGTTTGTACACAAAAAGGTCCTGCGTTTTTGTAGATTTTCCTGGACTTAATATTCTCCTCTTTGCTGATTCATTGTTGTTTATGAGCATATAGCAATAAGAAATTATCAATCCCTCTCGCGGGAATGTCCTCAGTAAATTCAGGGTTCTCAATTTGAACAAAAACACCTAAATGTATGCACGAAACCGTGTCTTCGCTAGATTATTTCACAGAAACAGTGCCCTCAGTTGTCGATCCAGAAAAGCATGGATAATTTTAATTGTTTAAAAGCACTCACATTTTAGTGCATTTAACAAATAGGAGTGTAACAGAAGGTTCATACATTGAAGAAAAGTACAAAAATGCTGATAAATGGTGTCTTATAAATTATGTCTTTTTGGACAATATGTATACAAAATATTAAGAAAGCCATGGTGCATGGCTTGTGTTATTCCAATGTTAAATTTCATTTCCTGTCTGTAGGCACATTTAGCCAAATTGCTCAGAATTTCCAGAAGGGTTAGGCTTTGATAAAATGCTCCCAAACTAGCCCCTAGTTTATTGGGTGACACAAGGTAGAAAAACAAAATCTCATTCCAAAAAACTGATTTAAAATGCTCTTGTCTGACTATCTTGTCGGCAAAATCTAGATTTCGTTGTCATCATGCTGGTCCCAATCCCTTTGGATTCATAAAGCAAATAAAGTTTTTTGGCCCTACTGACTGCATGTGCTTTAATCGCTTGCCAGAAGAATAATTTTTGGCCTGAAATTTAGATTTTTGAAAATGGCACAATATGGCTGCAAATTTTTGCTATGCAGCCAATCAGCAAAAAATCCTGACTAGTAAGAATCACTTAAACAATATTTGTACAATATTTTTTACAGCAGTCTAGTATTTTTTAACATTCCAGGGCATCCCAACGTAGGTGATATTTCCTACTTCAGGCCGAGAAATGCAGCCAAGATCAAGCCTTCTCAATCTTTGGGTGTGTGTACACAACAAATGGGGGATTATCATGTTAAGATGTCATCAAGAGCTGTGATGAGGCAAACTTGATGCTTTAAAGGTACAGTTCGTCGTTTGTCCATTATGTTCAATGGAGGCAACAGAAGTGCTCAAAACCTAAAGAAAGGTGCTTTACAACTAACCTTATGAAATCAGTGAATGCTATATATTCTAAGAAAAACAACATTCTTGGATCTCGATTTCAAATCAGAAGTTGCAGTGTCATGTTGTGAATTGTACCCAAATTAAGTGTCCCCGATGCATTCCCATTAAGTTGATGCCGTTACGTGATGTTGCATACTGAATAACGAACTATAGCCAATTTTCAGAAATGTGTCTTTAGATACATCATTACATATTGCCTTCTTTCATTGGTTTCTTCAAAATGACAGCTTGCCTAAAAGAATTATTCCCACAGTTTAGTCCCATAACCACCCTTTAAACCAAGTATGCTTTTCGACAGCAATTTCAGTTCAGGACTGCACCTTTGACTTGTCAGCTTTGCCTGCCATATGTGTACAGAAAGCCAGATCTTGTCCTTCCGTGCAAAGTGGATGAAGAAAAAAAAAAAAAAATAGGAGACATTTTGGGAAAGGGTTTTTCTTCTAAGAATCTTCTTCCTAAGCCATTTCTTGCTCTGCCTCCTGAGGAGAAAGATGGCTACCAAAGTCACCCTCTCACCTGCATCTTTTCTCCTTCTTTGAGCGTCACATTCTTGATCTTGTCCAACAACTCCACGATAACCTCCCCTTTCAGCACCTCCAGAGTGGTGTTGGTGAAATCTTCGCTCACAAAGTTCTCAAGGTACAGGCCTGGGAAATACAATAAAAAAAATAAACAAAAAAGAAATAAAAATAAAAACTATCCTATAAATTGTTGAGGTTTCAGATGAATCTTGGCTTTGCAAAAACAATAAAACCAAAGACTGCAAAGTGCATTTAATTACTAAGCAGCAGAAAAGATCAGAACACGAAAATGGCATGTTGGCTTTTTCTCCTGTACCATTATAACTAGAAAGGTGTGAGTCTAGTTCAACGCTGTATCACAACGTTTGAGATTACATTTTTGAAAGCTATTTTTAACTCGTTTCTCTTGTCGTACAACCTGAAAATTTAACATCAATAGAGAAACACAGTGCCTGAAAATTGAATATAAATAAGGGTAAGGAATGCACCATCGATTTTTTTCTATCGCATTTGACCAAAGTTCACCCTGAAGTAACTCTTCAGGGCACTAGGCATTTCACAAAAAATAACTGGCAGAGTCTGAGCTTCCGCCTGAAAGAAACATAATCTCATTTTCATGTGGCCTGAGTGGGCTGATATGAGAGTTTACCTGGAAAATCTGCCACAAACGTCACTTCCATTTCATCCTTCTCCAGTTCCTCTTCCAATGCATCTACTCTGCTTCTCCAGTCCGAGAGCTCAGTCAACAGGGGAAGGTTCCAAGATATGTCCTCAAATGGAGACCAAGGGGCAGTGACTATGTCTACGCGAGGATCCCACATCCTAAAACAGGAAATGCCCCAAACCCTTGTAAGGTTCTGTATGACATTCATACCTTTCTCTTACTGAACCATAGTGTGTTAATAGGATCTGGCTTTCTATATGCAGATCGCTAAATCTAGGTTAAAACGCCAAGTGTACCTTGACAGATGAATCTAAGCATGTCAGGCCGCGACGATTTTTTAAAGCTTTTTTTAGTAGGGCCATGCCATAAATTTGCTTGCCCGAATTAGATCAACACTTGCCCAAGATTTCTCAAAATCCATGATTATTATGGTTATTTAATTTAGGCCTACTGCATGCATGCAGTCTTTTATTAGGCCCCCAAAATAGTTGTGCTTCCAATGACATGCCTCTTACATGCCTTTTGGTTGGTTGGAAACTTTTTTTTGGGGGGGGGGTCAATTTTTTGGTCTGATTGAACGGCATGAATGGGGACGACAGCTTCCAAAATTATCTCAAAAAGTGATGAACACCTGTCTTAATCTATGTAAAATTTCTACAGGCGGTAATTCACAAGAATTATGGGTAATTCACACAGTGTGACTCAGGCAATCACGACGGCAAACTGGCCAACAATGTATCGCGTGGTAAGCGTGCGTGAGGCATCCAGACCAGTGGGTGAAAAACCTTGTGCCGCGGCAGGAAATTTGTTGAGAGACGCCGCTTCAAATACGCGCGAAACAAACTCAAGTTCTGCGAAGGAACTTACAGAAAACCTCTTGCAACATCGATTTTTTTTACCTGTGGCTATAGGGTTGCGTGCATGTATGGCCGATGTAGAGTAATTGACCGGAACGTACAGTACATGTAAAGACTGGTTCTCGTTGCTACATTTCTTTGCATGGGCGCAGCGTGGCGGGAACCAGAGCAACTTCATTTAATGCATTGAGCTGTGGGCACGTGTTTTCACCACTGCGACAGCGAAACGTGAATGAGAACTTGTCACAATGACGGAAGTTTCTTTCCAAAAATTGCAAATTTAAGTACAAAAACATACAAAAACAAGCATTTTAACGTGAGAACAAGTTATTGGAAGATATTTGTGAAGACAGAAAAGACATCAGTTTTTCTGGACTTGCCCGAATGGGCACACCTAGTTGAAATTTTAATTGCCCGAATGAAAATTTGATTGCCCTGGGCTATCGAACAGGCGATTCGTCGCAGCCTGAAGCCTGTTACTCCCCAGTTTGTTTTGTAAACATACAAAGTCTGAGGAGTCTATGGAGGCAGAATGTATGTTACACTTGAACCTGGTTGCTATGCATGACCTGTTAAGGTAGCTAACATCAGCACATGGGCATTACCAAGAGTGTTGGAAAATATGAAGCTGCTGTAAGGAATATCATCAGAATATTGTTAAATGAGTCTTGCAGATATAGCATTTAGCATTTGGCTTTAAATCCAAAGTTGACCGCTGTACTGCGTACAAGACCGCTGTCCTGCGTTTTGAACTTTCAAAAGTCTTGGCAACAAAAACTCCTGTGCACAAAACTGACACAAAATCTTCATGTGGCCATGTGCAGTGAATTAAAGCCAATTACACTACCGCTAGGTTGAAAAATAACTGTAATTTCACATTTTTGAGTCAAAATCCCAAACTTCTTCTGGTGTTTTTTACCCAAAACATTTCACCAAAAATCATTTGTGGCTTCTGAAAGTGCTCCTCCACTAGATGTGAACTTGTAAAAAAAAAAGACTTTCTCTTCATCTCGAAGAAAGCAAAACTAAAGAGTCAAAGAACAAATTCTGCGAAGAAAGAAACAGATGTTGATTTCACACTTCATCACCAGGAACGCTGGCACTTTGGTAACTGTACTCATTCAAGTGCGCAATGCTACATGCCTAATAAGATAAATTGTGTGAGTTCATTCAAGTGGACAAATCAGACAAAACACTAGACTTTCTTGAAAGCTGTATACCCAGATCTTACTGTACTTACTTGGTATGCACATGAATATTATATGTTGATACGCTAAGAAAACAATGCATCAGTGGCCACTATAGTTATTGTTTTAGGCTAATTTGTGACAACTCTGGTCAGGAAAGGACAGCAAAAGCTGTACAAATTTCCTGATAATTGTTAAGGCCAAAATTTTTATATGGTCTTGATAACATTGTACTGCACTTCACTTCAATATCCATAGAATAAGAACCACACACATACCTCTGTGAGAATCGTCCATTCATTGATTTCCAGATATCTACATAGAGGGCGGGCTCCTCGTATCCGTGGGATTTCAGCCGTCTGCTGACGCAGGTACCAAACTGTTTGATCATGTCACCGTGGCCAATCCAACGACTGGAAAAGGGGACGAAAAACTAGCAAAGGAAAACAGGACATTAACCTTGAAAATCTGGCGAAGTCAGATGTAGGCTTTCAGAGCAGTGGTGACGACTACTGTGCCTAGGTATGTGCAACTGGTGTGGAAGTGGACTTTACTCTGGACACAAGATTTACACTTTGAGCCAGATGGTAAGTAAATACCCAAGGACTTGTTGCATTTTAAGTACGTTATGTTCTGGAAAATATCTGTATGCAGTGCCATGTGATATCTGGACTCTTCCCCAGGGGGGGTTTGAGTGATTCCTGTTGAGTCTGTATACACAAGCTAACAGGCTTCAACCAGTCTGTGGAGGTTGAGTGTACATGTATGTGGAGCCCTTAAGTGGCCGCGGGCCACGGATGGGAATCGTAGCAAAAATAACTCCTCAACACAGTCGCAGAGTTTTGAAAAAAGCGACAATGCCCTAAGAAATGTCGCGCAAGTCTGTTAATGACCATCTAGCGTCAGCATTTGTAAAGTCCAACTTTATAAAGGTACATGTACGTGGTTGTGGTATCTTGTCATTCGGAAAAGTCTGCATTTTCAGCTGGAAATAAATCTGCACCCATGACAATTGGTTTAAACCCACATTATGGCACTAGTGAAAAGACTATAACAACGTATTTCTCCAACTTCAAGGAAATATTTGCGTGCACAACATAGGATGGATAAGACAGAAAGGACTGGCTGAGGGACTACAGCTTGAGATGAACTGCTGCTGCTAATTCATTGAGCTTTGTTAAGTACAAATAATGTTTAATTAGCAAAACCAGGTAACCAGGCAAAATTCCAATAGGCATTCATTACCAGTTGACTGGTTCCCAACTGACTTTTGCTTGACACTTGACTTTGCTGATCACTTAACGCCTCCACTTTTGGGTTCACTGCTTGTCATCGATTGATATATGGCCTTAGTTTTATGAAGTAGCCGTCATATGATTACTAACTTGAAGGACATGCCAACCGAGAGAAGGTTGGCTGGAGAAGAGACTAATAATGATGATTAATACTGATTGTATATTTACCTCAGGTGCCAGGTAGCCTGTCTTTCCAGTCTTTTGATCCACAAAGTGCACCTTCACATGCTGTGTGTGCCAGTTGTGCACCATCATGTCCCAGGAGTATCCATACAGGCCCTGGGTCCAACTATTGTACCCCTGAGGAAATGGTCACGATTGAAAATGGAGGCATGTGAAAATCAGAACACTGAGAAAAAAAATGTTTGGCTGTACTCTCTTATGAAACGTGGTCACAATTATCGCAATCACAGATTGCATATAAAGGTTGTTGGCTGTATCATGGGCAGTGACAAAGAGCTTCAATTCCCCAATCTATTACAAAGTCAAAATGAAAAGTGGCTCTTGTGACTTGTGAGTCATTTTGGCAGAGAGGGTCACATTTGGACGAGTATAATTTGGTCACATAGTGTACGCCCATAGTCTGAGTGACCAGAAAAGGCATCTATTTCCCTTGCTTTTGGCATCGGGAAATAGAACCCTCTGTGGAAATAGGACCCTCTCCTGGTCTTTCACAGTCCCTTAGGGAGCACAGACGAGCACCTATTGACCTCATTTCCAGTCCATATGTGTATACTATCCACCCAAATAAGTAAACCATATTATTATCGGTTTACTATTTCTCAAACATATACCAGTATTTAGAGCTAGGGAAAGGCTGCATATGTGGCACTACCTGTCAATGCATAGTGTGCATATTGCATAGCTAGGGCTATGCTCACATAAGAACTTCACCCATGGATGCGACAGTTCTACGAACTGTACTGGTGCATATTTGACCCACCCGGTTAACAACAAACATAGCAACCACCATCTGATAAAAATGATAATAATGACCAGACCAGTGAGAGTTCAGTTCTCAGTTAAAAACATGTATAAGGTATGCTTATAATTCTATTGTCCATGAGTTACATGCTTACCATCAAAAGTGGCCTTTGTCAGAGTAAGTGGACACAGAATTTTGGCAGCAGTAACTGAGTGTGAACTTAATAATGAAGTACGACTAAACTACCCAAACTCCTAGGGTGAGTTGGTAGTAACTCATAACAACTACAATTGCTGACCTAGGATAAAGGGGCCTCTAAATGAGTTGACTTTTAAAAAGTGGTCTCACATCGTTAGTACAATATAATAAAGATTATTTATGAAGTGAATGTATCCTGCAGTACTACTGCTCTGGGCAATATTGCAATTGTTATTATCCCTGCTCATCAGGCCATGAGACCAATTCCTCCAGCAAACATCAGCGTGTGTCTGGCCCCTGCTCTCCAGGTACCCATTTATGCTCTGGGGTGGAGAGAGTCAAGCAGGGGTACAGCGACTTGCCCACTGTCACCTGTAGCCAGCTGCTGGATTGGAACGCCCCGACCCTGTGATCGGGAGTGTGATATCCATTCTTATGTTAACTTGGTACTACTTTTTGCATGTTATCAGTCTGCGCTGGCGGCCAGCCCGAGTATATAAAAGGATAAGTGCAAATGATTAAATTTTGTTGAGTTTAGTTTCACCTATAAGACTAGGTTTCTGCGCTCCTTTTACTCTGTTTGTTGAGCTGTGCTCTTTCCTTTCAATTGAGTTTGGGCATCCGATACAATATTTGGCACCAAGGATGGGATTCGAACCCACGTGTACACAGCACAAAGCCTGACCACTGGGCCACCTGACCTACAAATAGGATGACTTCCCATCGACATTACCTTCGTCACAAAGTGAGAGAATGGCAAGAAGAGCTGAACGGCGATGTAGAGGGTGAAGAAACAAGTGGCCAGGTAATGATGGCGTTCTGGGACTCGCTGGTCACGTGACTCTGCCTCAGCTGCCTTCGCAGTGGCTCCTTTGGGTTTGACCTCTTTGGGAGTTTCCTGAAATGGTGGATGAAATCGAGGTAAACTAGCCTGAACATTTCGCCACATTGAAGAAAACCGATCTCTACGCACTGACGCGAAAGCATTGGTCCTTAAGGCTGTGAACAAACAAAGGTGGCCTCCATGACTCAATTTTTGGGGGCTTCTGAAGATGGCTGCCATTACATTCCTTGCAGCAAGACAAGCTGGCAATTTTTTTGTAATTTTCCAAGGTTCAAAGCAGTACGGAGTGATGGTTTAAGGGTGTATGAAATTTTCTCTAGACACCCTAGGGTAAAAAATAAACTGAGAGTGTATCAACCAGCCTGTACAGGTCCTCAAACAACAGTCCACTGTGAGTAACATTTTGAGCTTCCCTCCAAAGACAGCCTCTAATCAGTCTCCTCTTGTCAGTATACAGAGATCATCAATGATGGAAACCTAAATATGGGTAATTCCAGAAATTAGGGGTCCATTTTTTTGTGCCCCTGTCACATTTCATCTATGATTTTGTAAGTTCAGAACACATTTCTAATTCATGCAGTGATGAATTCATGCAAATTATCTGCAAAACAAATAGTAAGACTTTGAAATCAATTGTGGTGATATTTCCATGTCAAGTAACAAAGGTCAGATGTAACAGGGAAACCAAAATGTCACACTTTTGGACCCCTACTTTCTGGAATTACTCACAGTCATTCACTTGGTCTGGGCGTTTTCAAAACCAATAAGAATTAGGCCACAGTTCTTGATTTCTTTCAATTAATTGATTGTTTCCTTCCCAGTTCATGGTTTTGATGTTATCGAATGGCTTATTCTCCCTTTTTGTGGGTGTGTGCTGATTTTCAGAAAAAAATCCTGGCAAGCCACCACAATTTTATTACATTTCAACGTGGCAGCAACTGTGAGTGGTTTTTGTGTTCAACCTACTTTCTTTCACAACATTTTGTGCACATTTTGTAGGGTTTGGGTTAATGAATATTCAGTACAAGTTCTTACACCTTTTGAAAATAGGTAGTTTACAATGTGATTCTGCGTACAAAATGTGATTGAATAACGTTCAGAATGATTAAACAATCGTATAACAAATTATCACTGAAGACATGTAATTAGAAATGAAACTGATGATTTTCTGAACACATTAACTGATTTAAGTCCAAGAGCTTGACGTCCAGCCACATCTAGTCATGTACCTGTTTTGCGTACACACAGTGGTCACTCCTCTGTTGGACGTCGGGGGTAGCCGCGAGCTTGCTGCTCAAGGACGTTGGAAGGCGGGAGAGGAGGGAATTTGGCCAGTCAGCATAGCAGAACACCGGCATGGTGGCAATCATGGCGTAGGGGAACATCCCTGTGGGTAGGAGTCAGGATGCCGGGCAATTTATAGTGGCATGTACAACTACCAGCACAGATAAACGTTTATCACTGTGTCAGGAGTTTTAGTGTGGAACCTGAGACTAGGCCTTTCCAAGACCTTTTCTGGGAGTTTTGGGGAGTTTGAGAGAGTAACAGGCTAAATGGCATTTCAATGGCAAAGAGGGGGTGGGAAACCTTACATATAAAACAACTTTAAACATTATCATGGTAAATAAAAAAGAATGTATAGCGGTGCACCGTTGAGTTTAACCGTACAAACTTGGGAGTAACAACACAATTTCCAGCCAGCAAATATTAAACAAAAGCCAAGGTTTCAGTACATTGGACATTTTGCAGCCATGTGTTTTATAATGCAGCACTCAATGCAATTTTCTTCATGTGAATTGCCGCAAGATCATAGCCCAAGTTGTTAGACATCTGCAACTGGCGGCTACCGTGACTAACTGCTGGAACCCTCTAATGATACAGACTTGTGCATAACAATGGAAATCACAGCGTCACTTGTAAAACTAGGTCATAATGGTCTGTTATGCTGTAATGACCTGGTGAGAATCCTACCTGTATACGACACAGAGTCAAGTATTTCTACATTAATGAAGATTACTATTCAATTCCAGGGGTTTGAGAGTGACTCGCATCTCAATTTACCAAACCCTTCTAGGTTTCTTTGAGATTGCTCAAACAAAGCCAGGGAATTACCGTGTTCCTCAAATTTTTTTAATGAACATGACAAGAGACAAAATATGGAGGGATACTTGGTGAGACAGTTTGCTATAAAAACTCTACAACCAGGACATGCTAATGAGAGGGAACGCTGTCCTACCGATACTGAAGATCTGAGAGTTCATGGCATGGAAAGATCCGCAGAAGACAAAGGCGTACGGCCGAGTCCGATCGAAGAAAAGGAAGAAGCCCACGGTGAGATCCAGGAGGAAACCACCAATGTGGACGATGAGGAGGTCAACGTACTTGTCTGCCATAATTAACCTCAACAGAAAAGATCAGAAACAAAATATGCTTTGAAATTAGATGTTATACTGTATTACAGGTCAAATTTTACAACCCAAAGGTACAGCAAACATACCATTTATGAGGCATGAACCTCGGTGAATGCACTGCTTGGTGCCGATATTTTCGTCATACAAAGCTTCCATTTTTGAAACATGAAACATCTTTACAAACATTTGATATTGGTAAAGGGATTATAATCTGTGTCTATGTATTTGTACGGCACCTGCCAAAATTCAGGCGCATACGTGTACAGTGCACTTTCTAACACTTAAGTTCGGTCAGAATGCCAGGTAAGACGGGAAATGGTTTAACCGTTTATTAACTGCCAATGAGCAGGTTCAGTATTGTAATAATGTGTCCAAAATGAAGGTCGTCTAAGGTCACCCTGGAGAAACACGCAGGTGCAATGTCTGCACAGCCATACGCCAACTGGCACGTGGCTTTGTTCTCAAATGACCTTGCATTTTTGACAAACTGAACTGGCTGGTTCAGAGAGATACTGACTTCTGCAACACAGTTTTGACAGTAATGTCAGTTTCAAAGTAACGAGGGCAATTTCAAGCAAGTGGAAAAAGAAAAATAAAACAAAGAGAGAGGAGACTTACTTGAATGGATCAAAGACCCAGTGAGCGGACAGCCTGCCCATGGAGTAGCCAAACAGCCAATCAGCATCAATCTTCTTTATTCCAGCCAGGAAGTAGACAAAAAATATCTGGAGCAGAATATGAATAAAACATCCTGTGAATAGGTTTACCAAAAAGAAGTCCTCTCTTTATCAGGCAACTTTTCTAGTTCAACATTACGGTATCCACAGATTAAAATTCTTCACTTGTTTAAATTGTATTCAGTGAGAAACCTTGACCTTAACTCTCCCAGACCATTCAAAAGCCATCACGTGTTTTGGAAGCTTCCACATGACTGATGAAAGTACAGAGGCCGATTTCACAAACATGGCGTAACTTCAAACCATGCATAAGCATTGTGCCACAAATTGTGCCATAGCTTAAGTAACGGTTGATTTCATGAAAAGCTGCTTAGCTGACCAATGTTTTAAATATTTGAAACTTCTTGGACAAGGACGATCATGGCCTTTTACGACAGTTGTTTCTTTACCATATTACAGAATTCATTAAATAATCATTCCATTATCTCCACCCACCACAAACTGGGTAAAAAATCTTGGAAGTTTTCTCACAGCCACCCTCGCTTTTCATTACAACCAAAACACCAAATTGTACATTTTGCATTTGAAGCTTGTTTAGTTGAGAAACAATGAACCTTATCTGAATGTCATTAGTTAGTTAAATCACTCATTTCTACTTTGCTTGGTGCAATTTATGCCGTGTAACATGATAGCTTATGTGACGCAGTAATTTGTTACGCAAGTCACAAACATTGTGCAACTAGCTTCAAATGTGTCAGTGAGTGAAGTTACGCCACTTTGTAAAGTTCTATGAAATTAGCTGCAGTCCTGTCAGATTTGTGCACAAAGAATGTGTCATGGGTTCTTGCATGTTGATTGATTTGGGAAATGTAAAAAAATTCCTCGCACAATGGCCGAGGGACTTCAATGGGTAGGTGGCTGAGGGGGAGAATTTTCCAGCAGCCCTGGGGAGAATCTCACAAGAGGTCTCCTCTGTGACTACCTTCCGGTTTCCTTGGTGGGGCTAAAGGTCAAACCACACACCTGGATCCTGATGAGGGCATAATTCCACAGTGGGATGTGAGCGTTCCTCAACTTGGGGTTTCTCAAGCCGTCAATGGACCTACAGTGCCAACAACACCAATACATACATGTATGCATGTGGTGAACCCTGAATGAACATCAGGCCATGGTTTGATATGAAGTCTGCATAAAATAACACTGCATATTCCTTTTCCAACTCAGTTTTGCATTCACATAGTCAGCAGTGCTTCTAGGGCCTGTATTACATTGTGACTAAGGATATAAGCACAATGGAACACATACTGTACAAGTAAAAGATTCATTCTTGTCCTCAAGAGGAGATCTTTGCTTGATAACAAATTCAAACACTCTGTTTATTAGAAGGGGCATAAAGAAACATAGTATAGAATTGTGAATCATGTGAAAATGCAACAATGAATAAAATCTAGTAATCCTCAATAACTTTGCTGACTGTCCCATCCAAATGATGAAAATAGTTCAAATGTTAAAGTAATGGGTCACTTACATGTAATGGATAAACTACTGGGAGTTTGGCATGTGATTAGGGTTAGCGACCCATGACCAGGGGGCCAGGGGTTCAAGGCCGAGTGCTGGCCGTATGTCATGCCCTTAGGCAAACCATTTCACCCTTAACTGTCTCTCTCCACCCAGGAGAATAAATGGGCACCAGCTTTAGCTGGGGAGTAAACTCAAGATGGATGGGCATCCCATCCAGGGGAGATACAAATATTCAAAGTTATTTCATGCCATGGAAACTGGAGATAAGCACTGGCCTGATGGGCCACATAGGGTCAACAGACAATATGATAACTACTGAACAGAATTTGTCTTGAGCAGAAGCACCCCCTCATCAGTTGAAAAGATCTCTGTTTGTGGGGAGAGTTCATTTTGTTGGTAGCGATGAGACCATAACGTGTGCATTTGATACTCGTTTGTGAACCAGCAAAGTGTAGTTCCCAACTAAGCTTCTGTTGCTAGGAAAAGTGTGCAATCTCTTGGTTCAGCTCAGGGCTCATAGACGTTTTACGACGACACCACAGTTAATTCAGCTCAAAGTATGAGACAGCAACTATTCAGAGCAGAATCCACTGGCAAAAAGCTTTGGGTGGAATAACTCACCAGAATCTATTGGCATCCAGAAAGAATAACTGGAAGCTGAGGAGACCGTACAAGTAGGTGTGATTGTTCCACGCCGTCTTGTCTAAGAAGAAGATATACCAGTAGGGGATGATGAGCAGGACGCAGCTGACACGGTAGAAGGCACCCAAGAGGATGCCAAGAGCACCTGGAGAAATGGGGAAGCAACATGAAGTTGATCTCGTTGATGTTCCCAAATCCTTCAAAATCTATTGAGAGGTTTCAGAAGATGGGCAGGATTGAGGAACGTACAGCCAAGATATTATTATTTCAGTCTGGGCTGATGACCTTAATAGTTTAATAGAGTGTAAATACGACCCTGGTAAAAACAAGTTTGCATCTCAAGTTGCCGTATTTTCATCCTCAATGTTACATTTATTTGTTCTACAAAACAACGCCATTTCTTTACATTTTGCTGTCCTAAATTTCTTTTTTTCCATTGTTTATTATTGTGTAAGTACAATAAGTTAAAGAGCAACCCTTTCTCAACCATGTTTTCAATGAGCAAATTTTCAATTTTCATTTTGAACAGAAAACCTATCATATGAACGGTGTCTTCCCAGATGACATCACCTTCAGCTGACAGAAACTATGGTCTATCTTGTCCAAGAAAGTGCACTTTTTGATACACCTAACCTATTAAAAAGGAATGTCAGATAGTTCTCATTCATAAAAGAGGGGTATAAAGTCGCACAAAAGCATGAAGAAGAGAAATTTACTGCTTGGACACTTCAAGTACAAGAAATACAAGAAATGTACTATCAGGTTCCTGAATGCTGAAGTATTTTGTTGGATTCTGAGAAGTACCAACAATAAATAACAAAGTCTGAAATAAGAATTAAACTGAGTTGAAAACAAGATTCAAAGCTGTCACGGACAACAACTCTCATTACAGTTTACTTATTACACGTCTCTTTATGGACCATTAATGTGGGCTTCGAAGTACATGTTGGTGTATTATGACTGAGAGCCTATGTGGGTGCCACTCCTTTCGTCATATTCAATTCAGCATTTCCCATTCCAGGCCCCTGCCCAGCTAGCCTTTGATGCTTCTGTCCAACTTCATCACAGGCAATGGCTTATTGCCTGAAGAAAGTCCCACAGTAATTCTCATTTACTTGATTAAGGCAGACAGTGGATATCACGCAGCTAATGCCAAGTGACTGTCAGACTCTGGCGCTCAGCACTCAACCAGAGAAATTGAAGCTGGCTCATGGCAACCTTTTGACAGTGAACTTAAACTTGACTTTCAGCAAATGCAAGATTTACTGGCTGACTTTCATATGTACGATGTTTGCAGAGTATGTATTTCTTACTGCAACAATTCATAACTTGCAACACTCCGAGGTTCCGGTATGGAGATGGAGTGATATTTGCTAAAACAGACCGGCGGCTCTGTATATTATACAAGTGTCATATTCAATTCAACACATGGTCTGTTCCCAAAGACTTCCTGGCTGTTGTGTCTGTGAATGAAACAAATTCCATACAATGTGTCCACATTATTGGCATTAAGAGGCTCTGGCATCAGTCAGCATTTTAACCAGTCAGCTGCCCTTACGAACACAAATGAATCCGATGGTAGTAGTTATGGCAAACGCTGGATATTTCTGCCTGCCCTAATCAATGGCAAAAGGCACTGTGAAAACTACTGGATGGAGCAAGTGGTCTGCGGCAGTCATTCTGAATGAATTCAATACAACACTTTCTGCCATTGAAAGGGTCGGGCAGGGTGTCCAGTGACAAGAGGTCGGCAGGGTGTCCAGTGACAAAGGGTCGGCAGGGTGTCCAGTGACAAGGGGTCGGCAGGTGTCCTGTGACAAGGGGTCGGCAGGTGTCCAGTGACAATGTCGCTGGATTTGTCTATCCACTCCGAGCAGAACAAAAGGGGGTGTGTTTGTAAATGAAATTGACGGTCCATTTGGTACCAACTCACCGTATAGGCGTGCAAGTATTTGCAAGTTTGATTCAGAGCACGCCAAGGACGTGCAACAACTTTATTCTGGAATGTATAGTCTTTGCGTACATGCCGAATGCATGCAAAAACCCAGTTATAACCACTTATCTTTCTTTCGCTGATTGGGGGTGCACTTCAGCTTGGGGAGGATAGATAGTCTGATCTTGTTTACATGGTCTACAGTGCAAATTGGTTTAATGGGACACTGCTACTATTATTAATCAAGGGGTATGACTTACCAATGAGCATGACCAGGTAGACCACATACATCCAGTCAACGGGCAGGGGTTGGAGGATGTTGAAGAGGGGGAAGTGACAATGGTTGGGATTGCCGAAGCGAACATCAATCCTGGACATGCCCCTTTCCTGTGGAATGTCTATCAGCATCAGGATGGCTGGCAATGCAGAAGAAATTATGATGTAACGGAGATGTTTTTTCATTCAATACTGAAATTATCAAAAACCGTTTTGACCTTTCACTCAAACCATTTGGGATTCAGCTTCTCTACTCTGCAGCCAATTTCAAGAAACATGAGGCAACTTTGAACCACGCATAAACCTTGCACCACAAATTTATGCCGTAGCTGCACAACATACATGTACAAGTTTACATTTGATTTCAGGAAAAGTTACGCAGCTGCGCCATGTTTTAACAATATTAAATTTCTTGGACGAGGACAAAAACAGCTTTTACAAGAGCTGTTTCTTTCCAATATAAAAACTGTCATCAAACAGTCACTGAATCACAACTGCCCACCATTTTGAGAAAGTATTCATCCTTTCTTCGTAGGGACTGGACATAAACTCTTGCAGTTCTATCAAAGCCAAACAAATTTTTCATTACCTTCCAAAACAAAGTTGTACAGTACAATACTCATATAAGCCTTGTTAATTTCAGCAATGATGAGGTTTAACCGAACATGATAAGCCAGTCAAATCATTCATTTTTGCTTCATTTGGTGCAACTTACGTCACCTAAAAATGACTGCATAAATTACGCCATGATCTGTTGCGTACGTCATGGACTTACACAGTGCGTAAGTTTCGTGAAATCGGTCTTAATTTGTTGCACACCTTGTGCAATAAATGTGGCGTAAGTGGAATTATGCCATTGTGTATACTTTTTTAAATCGCCTGCTGGAATGCTCTTGACAGGAAAATGTCTAAATATCCATTGCTACTTGGTGAAATACAGCAGCAAGTGGACAGACTCCCTTCTAAAATTACAAAATAAAATCTGGCATAGTCTGAGTGATGCACTGAACCAAATGTAAACTAACTAAATGTGCATACCACTTTCTACGGTGTCAAGAATTATTACTGAAAGCCATTAGATTCAACTATGCACCTATTTTCCATTTTGGTGACAATAAAAAGAACAATAAACAAAGCTAAAATCTGCTTTCTTATAAAAATGAGAGCAATGAAGAGATGACATCAAAGCTTCCAGCAAGCTAACTATTAAAGTGGAAACCACAATAACCTGGAAAAACTGAGTCTACTGGAAACTTTTGAATTATTTGCTTTATTAAGTTCCCGTCAGAGAAAGCATACTTCTATCTTTGAAGCCTATGCCCCACTCCACATGACATCCTACTGAAAAAAGACATCATGCAGGTAACAATGTTGACGGTTCCCATGTTCAAAGTCCTGGAACTAAACCAGTACCTTACATGTGACCGATATGGCTGGAACAATAAAATCATTCAGAAACCTTAGTTTGAAAGACTAAACAGAACAGACAAGCTATCGTCACACAAATGCAAATGAAACAGAAGTTTCACACCATACTCACCATATAAGATTCTAACTAAGGCAAGTGCAGACGGATCTCTTGGTTCATTCATGAGGTTCACAAAGCGCCCCCAACTGCTGACGTCTGCCAATTCAAAGCCAAACAACCGCTTCATTCGGCTTAGCTGACTTGCTCCCATCTTGGTTTTATCTCCGTCGTCCAGGTTTCTTTTCTCCTTCTGATCCGAGCCATTTGCTTTGGCCATGTCTCTGGTTTTTTTTTGGTGATACTGTCTTGGTGGTAACAATTTAAAACCTTTAGAATGAAAATACACAAACACAAATTTCAAATCTACGCCCATGTACGTGCTAACAACCTGGTAACCCCCAAAATGTCAAATGGTACAATTTGTTTTACTGTTAAATGAGAATTGGTACACTGAGTTCCTTCAGTTCACATGAACATAACAATTTGCATTCTCCATACTAAAGACACTGTTGCTATACCTTGTCCCTTGGGGCAAGCAACTGCTTTTGTAAGTTTTGATTGCACTAATTACACCGTTTTCAGTGGATAAGGTCACAAAGGAACCAGTCTATTCCAGAGATGATGTTCGCTATGCAAAAGCATCACGAGGTATAGCAAAAGTATCCCCAGTCTGGGGAACTCGAGTATGTCCAATAAGATAACTCAGTGTACCACATTTTATTCCAATTTAACTCGCAAAAGGCTTATTCAGCTCTTGATCATGAATATGTATGATAATCTACATAACAATCTGTTGAAGTAGTATGACAACTCCCCTGTGACAGACACCTGTGAAGAGCTTTTCTTTGCAAAGATTAACAAACTAACTAGCCAATTCAACAAGCAAGGTGCCTCACAAAATAATAAAACCCACTGAGATCAGCCTCTAACAAAAACACAAAAAGAGGCCTAGGACCACATCTAGCACAGCAGTCAGAGCAGTGTTCTGCAGTAGGTCTTACAAGACAAGAAAACAAAAATGCAAATGCCTCACACTAACATTGTGATCAATGAACACTTTTCATCGCAACTGGCACTGTACTGGAAAAAATTAATTGATACATGTACCGGGTTTGTACATGCACTGTACATGTACATGTACCCCAATAACCTTGACGTCTCATGCAGTACACACTCAGAAATTAATTAAGATGGGCTTCTTAGACCAACAGTTTCAAATCTGATGAGACATTAAAGACATATGCAACAAAGCAAAAATGTGAACTTACACAACACCGTGCTATGCACACCCACACTGAATAAGATCCCGTCGCCAAAATGACGACCTTTCTCCAGCAAGCACCTCCAGGAGAAATGACACGTGTACTACCCACCTCTGTGTCTTACATTTCCCCCGACAGAAGACAAACACTTGACAGAGAGTGCACACAGGTCATAACTGGGACTGAGTGATGCGTAGGCTGTAAGGCAGAAAATCAATAAATTGATATTAGGGTAATTCCAGTAATCAGGGGTCCGTTTTTTTCCTCTCCCTGTCACATCTGACAAATGAGTTTGTAAGTTCAAAACACATTTTCTAATTTCCAGAGG